CCAGATCTATACGTCCTATCCAAGAGGCTCCTCCCTTTGAAAATATCCTTAGTTGTTCCTTAATTTCATTTATTAGGGGGATATAGTTTGCCTGATATATATACTTTTTGTTGAGGGGTTAATTTTACTCCCAGGTAACCTATTTCCTTTTCCCTCCAGATAAATAGAAACTCTTTTTGTAGACTCAACTTGTCAGGCTCCGCCCAACGTGATCTCTAGTGGTCCACAGCACGGGGTTTCCCAGGACGCGGAGTCTAAGTCCCAGTCTGCCTCTTCACCAGGGCCCCTGATGGTGGGGATGGACTTGGTGCAAGACTGAGACCAGGTTGCGCCCCTGGGCACCCCCGGCGGTGGTAAGAGGGGTCCCGCTGGGGGTATGTGCCCGGGATGAGCCTGCTGCGAATGGGGACGACAGGTCCGATCCGAGCGGATGGATGGGATGGATGGCAGATTCCGATCCGATCGAGCGGGATGGACGGGTGCCAGATCCCGATCCGAGCGGGATGGATGGGTGACAGCTAGGAGCGAGCAAGGTCAGACTAGCCGGTCGGTATCGTGCGGGCAGCGTGGTACAGGGGGAGTAAGCGGAGAATGGTCGGGGTCACAAGCCAGGATCAGCAGGTAGCGGGCAGCGCGGTACAGAGGGTCAGGCAGGAGGATGGTCAGGGACGAGCAGGGGTCAGAGCAGGAGAGGGTCAGCATAAGTCAGAACAGGCAGAGTTTGGCAACTATAGGAAGCGTACTTACAGAATCAGGAACAAGACCTTGCGGCAACCTGGAGATGCACAGGCAGCTTTAAATAGAGCGCCCTGCTCTCCCATTGGTGCGGCCGCGATCGCTACTGCGCATGCGCGGCCGCCGCCGCGATCGTCGGCCGGTACAGATCGGCCGTCTGCGCATGCGCGCACCTCGCCCGAGGACCCGGGATCCCTGACACAACTTCTCTGACATTGGGAGGTTGACATTTAATATTTCTGATTTTACCGGGTTTAATTTCAAGTTTGATACTGTTTTAATACTCTCATTAGGTTAGGCAACGTTATTCTAGGTTTAATAATATAAAACAACATATCACCTGCATATGCGACTACTTTATGCTCCACTTCCCCTATCATGATTCCCTCTATATCTACACACTTCCTTACCCTCGCCAGAACAGGTTCCAAAGACAGTACAAACAACAAGGGAGAGAGAGGGCATCCTTGCCTAGTGCCGTTATGCATTCTAAAAAACTGAGAAAGCAATCCGTTAACCTTAACCTCTGCTGACGGGCTATTATACAATCCTTTTATCCATTTTAGCATTTTTGGGCCCTATTCCTAATGCCTCTAGTGTATCAAACATAAATCCCCAATTAACCCCATCAAAAGCCTTTTTGGCATTGATCTCTTAGCTCTTTGTACAAGAATCATGGATCTAAAACCCACCTGATCTAGATGTACCCAATCCGGCATCAAATCCTTCAGTCTCGTTGCCAGCACCTTAGCATGTAGTTTAGTGTCTGTGTTTAATAATGATATGGGCCTATAACTGGCACACTGTGTGCTATACTTCCCTTCTTTAAGAATAATCGTTATATGAGCTTGCAGTGACTCCTCCCTCATTTCCAACTCCTGCCCCAGTGCATTCATATACCTACACATTTTGGGGACAAGAAGATCTCTAAATTTTTTTAAATATCCCACTGAGTATCCATCTGGCCCTGGGCTTTTACCTCCCTCCGTATTCTTTAAGGCTATGTTAATTTCCTCCGGGGTAATTGGTCTTTCAAGAGTCTCTAGTTTTTCTTGCGTTAATTGTAGCAACCCCACCTCACTTAAATATTTTTGCCTAATTATTTTTTTTTTCCTCTTCCCTTTCCTTTTGATCACCACAGCTCACATCATAAAGTTCACTATAATATTTTTTAAACCTATTGGAAATATCAGAGGTAGCATGCAATATATCTCCTTTCCCATCTCTAATTTTTTCTATAAAAGTTTTGGATTTCTTGCTCTTTAATCTTCTCATTAAGTATTTTCCAGGTCTATTCCCCCACTGGTATCTTTCCTTTGAGACCCTATTAAATATCCTCCTCAACTCTTGTTTCATAAGATCTTTCAGCTCATCTCTTTTAAGTATTATATTCTGATATACATCTGTTACTCTCTTTTTTTTGTGTAGCTGTTCCAACTTATAAAGCTCTTCCATCACCATCTTTATTTTTTTCCTTGTTCCTTCTTTTTTTCTGTTCCTACCAAAATCAGTGTTCTCCTAATATAAGCTATATGTGTCTCCCAGACTGTGACCACCGAGACCTCATTAGTTTCATTGAGCTCAAAAAATTGTTCAGTTTCTCGCCTTAACCTTTTCTCTACTTCGGGATCCTGTATGAGCATTTCAGTTAGTCTCCATATATAGTTGTTTTATCTTGGCCTCCTCCTGCTTGTAATCTCATCATGACGGGAGCATGATCAGAAATGGACATGACCTCTATGTTGGAACTAACCAACGACTATGCTCTATCATTATATAATCCAGTCTTGCATACGAACCATGCACATGAGAGAAGAAGGTACAAATATCTTTCCCTTGGATGTTTCACTCTCCACGTATCTGCCAGTTGATATTTATGTAATAACCTCTTCAATAATTTCAACTTCCTACTCCCTTCTTCTCTCTGTGTACATGATGACGCATTCAGATTAAAATCTCCAGCCATGACCAGACTTCCCTTTTTAAATTCAGAGAGTTTGCTTAACACCCCCTCTAAGAATATCACTGGGTTTTTGTTCGGGCAGTATATATTAGCTAGTGTATATTCCAATCCTTGTAACTTTGCCCTAAGAAATAGAAACCGACCCTCTGGGTCTTCCAGTTTAATTTCCAGGTAAAAATTAACATTTTTTTGAGAGCCCAATTGATACTCCTTTGGCCCCTTTAACTGGTGAGTCAGCATAATACCACACTGGATAATACTTTGAGTATAGCTTGATATTTGTATCTCAGGTTAAATGTTTTTCTTGAAGAAATACTACTTCTATAGAGTGTTCATGGATTTCCCCGAGTATCTTATAGTTACGTTGACCTACTAGCTTTCCTTCAGGAGAAAAACAGATACAGACAGTTTAGGATATGGATGTTCTCCTTATTTCCAACAATAACATCCCCCTACCCACCCTCCCAAAACTATCCCCCCCCTTCTCAAAGCTCCCCCCTTCCCCAAACCCCTGGGCCTAAGTTTTGCCCCTGAATCTGTCGTGGGACCTTCCCACTGCCAATTCCTATATTGGGGTGGGACTCTAAACACGCACGCCCACTCCGCTCCCCCCCTCTCGCAACATAGGGGATCTAGAGTATGGCAGTGCATTCAGACTCCAGGCAGCCCGACCTCACCTTCTTAACATCTGTTTGATTCCTACTGCTCTTCTAACCTCCCTGACTTCTCCCTATATGGACCTGCAACGCCGGCATGGGGGAAGAGAGTTGGGGGAGAAGGGGATGAAAAAAAAAAAACACACGCAAGGGTAACCCGCCTCACCTCTCTCATCCCCCCCCCCCCCCCCCCACACCGGTTTGCCTTCTCCTTTTATTTACCATCTGCCATGTTTCTTTTCCAGGCCCTAAACACTCAGCAGACCCCCCTGCCAAGCCCACAATGTCCATTTCCTGTAAATCTAATTTTCTACAGAAGTCACTCAGTTCTTCTGGGAATCTCAATCTTGCTGATTTCCTGTTTTTCCATTCAATCAAGCAGGACGAGAACTCCCAGTTATATTGGATTTTTTTTCTCCCTCATCTGCTCCAACAACGGTTTCAGGGGTCTTCTCCTAGCTATCGTCTCAGATGCATTGTCAGCAAATATTTGTCACTTTATCCGTTAATATTTTATTTCAGGGATCTCTCTGAGCTTTTTCCAAATTTTTTCTCTGTTCTCATAGTGATGGAATCGGACAATCACATCTCTGGGCAAGTCTGCTGGCACTACTTGCGGTCTCTTTATCCTATGTACTCTCTCCATTTTAAAATGTTCTGTTGTGGGTCTACTTATCAATGGGTTAAGCACTTTCTTTATTTTATCTCTCAAGTCTTCCCTGTGGGATCCTTAGATTATTTCTTCTTTCTCTATTCTCTTGAACCTCTAATTTAAATGCAAGCTTTCTCTGTTCTCTTTGCATCTCGTCTCAAGTTTAGTGATCCAAAGCTCCAGTGTCTCCATTTTCCCATCTTCCACTCATGTCAGCATTCGGTCCAGATCATTGCTTATTGCTGCCATTTCATTTTTCACAGATATCTCCAGTTTTGCAAACATATCTGCCATATCAGCTTTTGTAACTGTTTGTAATGTAGCTCCCTGTTGTTCCAAAACACTTTGATCTATTATACTGTCCACATTTATTGGGTCATTGGACTGGTTCTCTTCTTGTGTCCTTAGTGACAGTCTTGAGTGATATCCCACCCCTTTTCTAGTTCTCTCCTGTTGTTTCTCAGGGGTTAATTTCTCTGGACTTTTTTCCTGCAGAGGAAGGTGTTTCCTTATTGTGCTAGTATTCGCACCTGCTTGGGGGGTTTTTACTCCTCCCCCTTAGGCTGATTTGCTCCTCAACCCTTTAACCGCCTCCCGCCCGCCATATAAGGTAATGATGGGCGAAAGGCGGTTCTCTCATACCGGGAGGACGTCATATGATGTCCTCCCACTCTAACCGCGTATGCGCAGCTCCGGGGGCACGCAGCATGGCGATCGGTGGTGCGCTGTGTCCCTCGGACACAGCGGATCACTGTTCAACGGAAAGAGTCGAAGATGTCGGCTCGGTCATGTGATCAGCTGTGTCCAATCACAGCTGACCACATGTAAATAGGGAAATGCCCGTTATTGGCATTTCTCTCCTCACGAGCTGTCACACTGACAGCTCGTGAGGAGTCGAGAGCCAGTAATCGGCATTACTCAGAGGGGACATCTACACTGATCATCAGGGTACTGATGATCAGTGTGCCCTGAAGATCAGTGTAGCCCCAGCAGTGCCATCTGTCAGTGTTCATCAATGCCAGTTGTCAGTGCCCATCAATGCCACCCCCCCCATCAGTGCCACATCAATGCCACCTCCCAGTGCCATCAGTGCCACATCAATGCCACCTGCCAGTGACTACCAGTGCACATCAATGCCACATATCAATGCCCATCTGAGCTGCCTTTCAGTGTCACCTATCAATGCCAGTCAGTGCCACCTATCAATGCCAAGCAGTGCCACCTATCAGTGCCAGTCATTGCCACCTAACAGTGCCAGTCATTGCCACCTAACAGTGCCAGTCAGTGCTGTGACTATCGTGGCGTCAGACCCCCAATCCTTCTCACCAACTTGTGACCGAAGGACTAGCCACTCTAAAACCACGCTGTCACGTGCATAACAATGCCACGCTCAGCTGCACCCTGCACAAAGATTTTCCAGCTAATGGACCACAATCTATGTACCTGCAGCCTGAGAGCAATTGTTACTGGGTCAGGTTAATTATGTAATTAACCCTTCACACTGCCACTACTGCCTTTTTGCAGAGAAAAGGAGGAAACTCGCCAATATTAGCAATAACACTATGATGTTTGAATAATCATCTGTATACCACTGTCACCGCAGGCAGAGGTATATAAAGGTTTACAACACACAGTAGCGCTCTCTTCAGAGACAGGGATTCTTAGTTTGCATTAAAGAGCTTTAGAAACAGTTCAACACTTTTCAGATAATAGAATTTATTACTAAAAAGGTCAAAAGGGTGCAATAGCAATATTTACAGAAAAAGCCAATCTATATACAGTGGGGCAAAAAAGTATTTAGTCAGCCACCAATTGTACAAGTTCTCCCACTTAAAAAGATGAGAGAGGCCTGTAATTGGCATCATAGGTAGACCTCAACTATGAGAGACAAAATGAGGAAACAAATCCAGACAATCACATTGGCTGATCTGGAAAGAATTTATTTGCAAATTATGGTGGAAAATAAGTATTTGGTCACCTACAAACAAGCAAGATTTCTGGCTCCCACAGACCTGTACCTTCTTCTTTAAGAGGCTCCTCTGTCCTGCACTCATTACCTGTATCAATGGCACCTGTTTGAACTTGTTATCAGTATAAAAGACACCTGTCCACAACCTCAAACAGTCACACTCCAAACTCCACTATGGTGAAGACCAAAAAAAAGCTGTCGAAGGACACCAGAAACAAAATTGTAGACCTGCACCAGGCTGGGAAGACTGAATCTGCAATAGGCAAGCAGCTTGGTGTGAACAAATCAACTGTGGGAGCAATAATTAGAAAATGGAAGACATACAAGACTAATGATAATCTCCCTCGATCTGGGGCTCCACGCAAGATCTCACCCCGTGGGGTCAAAATGATCACAAGAACGGTGAGCAAAAATCCCAGGACCACACGGGGGGACCTAGTGAATGACCTGCAGAGAGCTGGGACCAACGTAACAAAGGCTACCATCAGTAACACACTACGCCGCCAGGGACTCAGATCCTGCAGTGCCAGACGTGTCCCCCTGCTTAAGGCCAGTACATGTCCGGGCCCGTCTGAAGTTTGCTAGAGAGCATTTGGATGATCCAGAAGAGGATTGGGAGAATGTCATATGGTCAGATGAAACTAAAATAGAACTGTTTGGTAGAAACACAACTCGTCGTGTTTGGAGGAGAGAGAATGCTGACTTGCATCCAAAGAACACCATACCTACTGTGAAGCATGGGGGTGGCAACATCATGCTTTGGGGCTGTTTCTCTGCAAAGGGACCAGGACGACTGATCCATGTACAGGACAGAATGAATGGGGCCATGTATCGTGAGATTTTGAGTGCAAACCTCCTTCCATCAGCAAGGGCATTGCAGATGAAACGTGGCTGGGTCTTCCAACATGACAATGATCCCAAACATACCGCCCGGGCAATGAAGGAGTGGCTTCGTAAGAAGCATTTCAAGGTCCTGGAGTGGCCTAGCCAGTCTCCAGATCTCAACCCCATAGAAAACCTTTGGAGGGAGTTGAAAGTCCGTGTTGCCCAGCGACAGCCCCAAAACATCACTGCTCTAGAGGAGATCTGCATGGAGGATGGGCCAACATACCAGCAACAGTGAGTGCCAACCTTGTGAAGACTTACAGGAAACGTCTGACCTCTGTCATTGCCAACAAAGGATATATAACAAAGTATTGAGATGAACCTTTGATATTGACCAAATACTTATTTTCCACCATAATTTGCAAATAAATTCTTTCCAGATCAGCCAATGTGATTGTCTGGATTTGTTTTCTCAATTTGTCTCTCATAGTTGAGGTCTACCTATGATGCCAATTACAGGCCTCTCTCATCTTTTTAAGTGGGAGAACTTGCACAATTGGTGGCTGACTAAATACTTTTTTGTCCCACTGTATATATACAAATACAGAGAGCAATACCACAACAGGGAGGTAACAGAAAGAAATTTAGAGAGGTAGAGTACTTGCCAAAAGTCCTGGGTTAAGCAGATCAAGTTTCAGAGCAAAAGGGTGCCATTCTCCCAAGTTGGTTCCAATGTTAAAAGGGAGATTTCTTCAACTTCAACTGCTCCAAGCATAACAGCCTTTTTCTAGGAACTCAGCAGGGTGTCTCCTTAAAGCAGAGAACCAATCGCCTTATTTGGGGAGGGGTGTTGTAGGCGGGGGACTCAGGCTAGAACCAAAATCCCTCACAAGTTATACCAGGGCACTAACCTTCCCTAGGTACATGTAACATTCTATCCACGGGTAGATTAATATGCAGAATCATCTGCTGAACGTCTAGATATCAAACATGCCATAATTTACTATTCCAGCTAGAACTATATGGCTTCCTGCTCTCCTGTAGACTTCCACGAGGGGTGTAAGATATCAGACGACTTGCATTAAACTGAGCTATCTGAATATATGCTTTATGTTTATGTAATTATTTCCTACCTTAAGATATAAAATTATATGGAAAAGTGGGTTTTAAATGTGAGGTCTGTTTTACGGCTAGCTGGAATGTCTTTGAAGCTCAGTGAAGGACTTGGTTTTAAAATTATCTCAGATTGAGAAGCTAAAAGACACCCGGGCACCAGCTAATTTGGGATTTATAACCATGAAGCTCTCCAGCTGGGCCTGATGCCTTTTGAACTCAGCATACACACACAGACCACATTCCTGAGGAGGGAGATTGGAGGGAAAGAGAGATACAAGATGGAGGGTCTTGAGCAAGATGGATGACCGCGTCCATCTCTGTATGTACGATTGCTACAAGTGCCGCCTATCAGTGCCAGTCAGTGCCACCTATCAGTGCTGCCCATCAGTGCCATATATGAGTGCTGCCTTTCAGTGTCCATCAGTGATGCCTGTTAATGCCCATCAATGCTTCCTCATCAGTGCCCATCAGTGCCACCTATCAGTGCCCATCAGTGCAGCCTATCAGTGCTTATCACTGCAGCCTCATTAACGCACATCAGTGAAGGAGAAAAATCACTTATTTACAAAATGTTATAACAAAAACTAAGAAAAAACTTTTTTTCTTCAAAATTTTCAGTTGTTTTTGGTTTGTTTAGCAAAAAAATAAAAAAAAACAGCGGTGATTAAATACCACGAAAAGAAAGCTCTATCTGTCTCAAACAAATGATAAAAATGTCATGTGAGTACAATGTTGCATGACCGCGTGATTGTCATTCAAAGTGTGACAGCGCTGAAAGCTGAAAATTGGCCTGGGCAGGAAGGGGTATAAGTGCCCTGTAGGCAAGTGGTTAAACTTTACCACTGAGTTTGCTATTAATGCACAACTGCTGTGTTATCCATCCCCAGGAAAGACCTTTTCCTCTGCTGTTTGTTACTTTGGGAGCAGGAGTGATCTAACCAATTCCACTGCTGCTGAGAACCACTGAGAACCCTCACAAATACAGTCCTCCCTCCCCCCTAGTACTCAGGAGCAGGAGCGGACTGACAACTCATGGGGCCCCCGGGCAATAGTGGATCATGGGGCCCCTGTGTCCTTGCCCAAACTCAAAAAAAGCCTATGAAAAAGGTACCAGGGGCATCTCATGGGGCCCCCTACTGATCCTGGGCCCTTGGGCAGTGCCTGAGTTTCCAAATGGTCAGTCCGCCCCTGCTCAGGAGTACATTTAGACTGCAGCATTAACATCAGATGAATCAGAATAGAAAAAGTCCCACCGTTGCTCACGGCAACTCACCACCACCTTTCATGCTGGCAGATCCGGATTTCACTGTCCCAGGGCACACTCAGACCCAGCCGTTGCCGCCGAGTCCAACTCCGGATGGGGTTAGATGAATTAGATGAATTAATGAGGGGTCTCTGTATCTTAGACATCTAGGGTATCTCAGGGTCTCCCAAGGCTGCTATCCAAGTCCAGAGTAAATCACCTTTAATATTTCTGCCTCTTCTTCAGCCGTGAAGCCACACCACTTTCATGGACTTTTAGAATAGCTTGTCACTTTTCAAAATTACCGCCCTCCGTCACAGGGGCTGTCACCTGGTAGGTCAAATGGGCAGTCACATGGGTTGTCACAGGGACACTCTCACTGTCCCCTTCTCCTCCAATGTCGCTGCCTCCTGCTCCTGGGGCACAGGACCAGACTCACCAACGCTGACCACATCCGGGACCAACACCAGGATGCCTGAACCCGGAGCAGCCACGATTGATCCGCTTGATCAAGCTTTCAGGTAGGACAGGGCTTTTCGGGCAAGAGGCAGGGCAGATCAGGGTAGGGCTGCAGGGCTAAACTCATGCCTGGCAGGCGCCAACTTTGCAGGTAGTTTAGGTGGACCCCCCAGGCATGATATTTAAAGGAATTTTTCTTTTCTTTTCTTTTTTACTTTAAGCAATGACAAATTACTGCCCCTTTAAAAACAGTAGTTTTTGAATTTTGTTTTTCACTGATTCATGTCTCTCAGAGCAGTACCCGAGTCCCCATACCCCTTTTATTGCCAATACCTTGCATATAAGCCTTCAAAATGGAATTTACAAGTTTGAGTCCTATAGACTTGCATTATGTTCGAAGTTCATGGTTGAATATTTGACCGCGAACTGAACAGGGGGGCCCATCACTATTAGAGAGTTCTGATGAAAAGGATCCACCTTTGAAACTAGTCAGTGGTGATGCATACAAGAGACAGCGGGATAGGGATGAGTGTTGAGTCTCTTTCTGCATGTTATGTTATATGATAAAGTGAGTTTTCATTTTAAGTTTTTACTATTTTATAAATGATTTTATGTACATTATGCTTGTGTGCTTTCAGTTTGCTATGTGGTGTTCTATAAAGATTCCCAGCCTGGAGGAATCAGTAAAGCCATGGATTCTGTATACTCTGTATTAGGAAATAACAAACAGTGAAAATCAGCACAGCAAAAGAGAACATTTACCGGGAATAAACATATCTCTTATTTCCCTGCAACGATTGCATCCCTTTTTTCCACTTGAACAGTGACGGTTTGTATCTAATTGCTAATAAAAATCACACACAAGGACAGCTTGGCAATGTTAGCAACAATGTCTACTTGTATCAGCTTTTACATGTGACTGTTTAGCTCTGCCCCTGCGAGGGCAAATCGCGAGCTTGTTATGTTTGGTCTGGAAATTTAATAAATACATTGAAAGTAAAAAATTACACACGTGATTCTAGCCTTAGAAAACTTCAGGGAAATGTTTTTGTTAATATTTTTAATAGATTTAAAGGTGAAAGCTTGCTATTAAGAACTACAGCATTTGAAAATGTGGATGCAGAGACATATAGCCATATCTAGCTGTCATATGTAAAGATCCGTACAGAGAGACAATGACAAAAATCAATATGTAAGAGCAGAGAGGGGAAAGGGATATTGTTACTTTAATAAAACAGAGTGACTTTCACACAGAGAACCTTTCAAACACTTATACCATTGAACCAGAAAACAAGTTCTAATGCCAGGGTCACACTTCGTTCTGTGCACCCAGTCTCACATACTAGCTGGGCACTCCCAGGAGACAGTCTGACACACTGCTCCATATTATTTGCATCCATCATGTAGCCACATCTAAGAACTCTCATCCTCTGAGGGACATTATGAGTGGAATTTTCTAATCCTTACAGGAGACAAATATATTTCCGTTGGCTCCATACTCCAATCTCCCTAATCATCATGCAGTAGAAAGACAAAGAAATCACAATGTGGGTATTACAAACATTATTAGCTTTTACTACAGAAGAAAAGTTATTTATCACAAGTAGGCTACAAACTGAATAATTCATTTCATTACAGGTGCACTTTCTTTCTCTCTTATCCTGCAGCTGTCATTAATTAGTTACTCATGGTCTTCCTATGTAGGAGTGAATTTCCTCCTAGAGGGATGCAACCCTTGTAACATGTCCCCCCAAGGCTGGAGAAATCACATTACACTTAAAGCGGAGTTCCACTCACCCTGTCAAAAAATAAAGGTTAGCAGCTACAAAAACTGTAGCTGCTGACTTTTAAAACACAGCCACTTACCTGTCCCTCGGTCCCGTGGTGTGTCCCCCACAGCTCATTTCACTGGCCGTCCTGTATTCCAGGAGGCCGGCATCTTCAGTGTGGGCACCCGGCTGTGATAGCTTGACAGCCAGGTACCCACTGCGCATGCGCAAGTAGCGCTACGCTTCATGAATGGTCCTGTAGTCTTCTGGGACCTATCACGTGTCCCAAAAAACCACAGGGAGGGAGGGAGGACACCTTCCATTTTCCTAGGCGATCAGACTGGAAGTGGGAGAGGGGACCTGTCAAATTCGGGTGCCAATCCTTAATGGGGAGCGGGGGAGCAGTCCTTAAAGCGGAACTTCTCCTTTTGGTGGAGCTCCGCTTTAATATGACTAGGATAGGTGTTACTGCTACACCATAGAAGAGTGGAGAACCTTCTCTCATTCCATTAGGTGTCAACCTAGTCTTCAACTACCACCCAAGGACACTGCATGCCCTCCATCTACTGATTGAGGGAGGCAGCTATATAAAGGTAGAGATTAAATAGTATCCAGACCCCAAAACAAACATGTAATATGATGTCTTAGGTGACTCCACTCCACATAGACAATCTTGGACAGCAGTGGTGTCAGTCTCTGGAGAGGAGATACACTAGCAAATTTAGATGGTGATAAAGAACTTCTCTGATGACAGTTCTCTGATGTAAAAAAAAAATTGAAAAAAAAAAAATTGTAAAAAAGAAAAAATTTATTTTTACACACTGTCACCAGTCAGTATCCCTGATCACTGCCAAATCAGTCATGTGATGATGCTGTACTGCATTGGTGACAGTATGTAAAAAATATTGTGGAAAAAAAAACCAAATTATATTTATTTTCTTCATTTTCCAAAAAATTGTGACAAACAATTACAACTTCAAAAAACTTGCCATGCCTCTTACTAAATACCTTGGACTGTCTACTTTCCAAAAATGAGTCATATGGGGGTTATTTGTACTGTCCTGAAAATTTAGAGCCTCGAGAAATCAGATAGTCCATCAGGACTGATCAATTTTCAAATATACTGTATATACCATAGTTTGTAGACTCCATAACTCTCACACAGACTAAACATTATACACTGATTTGGGTTATTTTTTACCAAAGAAATGTAGCAGAATACATTTTGGCCTACATTTATGAAGAAATATTATTTGTTTGCAAAATTTTATAATAGAAACTAAGAAAAACTTTTTTTTATTTCAAAAATTTATTTTTCCATTTATATAGCAAAAAATAAAAACCCAGTGGTGATTAAATACCACCAAAAGAAAGCTCTATTTGTGTGAAACAAATGATATAAATTTCTTTTGGGTACAGTGTTGCATGACCGAGCAATTGCCAGCTAAAGTAGCACAGTGCTGAATAGCAAAAAAAATGTCCTGGTCATGAAGGGGATAAAATTTTCCGTTGAAACTGAATAGGTTGCATTATAAGGTAAGTTACAAGACGTCATAGAGCGTCAAGTGATGTCACACTACGACACACCTCCAAGCCCGGCAATGATGGCGACAGACCATGTGGGGGGATAGATGACTGGTATGCTGCGGCCCTGAACCCCTACAGTACTACCAGCTGATTCCGGCTAGACAAGTACCTATATGGGGATAGCTGAAGAGAGGTAAGACCGCACCTTTACTTGCCTTGACCAGCATCATGATTACTACCACTGTGAACAGTGATACTGAGCAGACCTACTCAACATTGACCATATGGACATAATTGTCTTAGCTCCCGGGATGAACTAGCACAAAAGGTGAGCTTGGAATTTCCACGTATAGTTATTGGTCTTGCTCTTTTGCTGGATGGACATTTAGGCTGGGCTATTGTACCCCTTTACTTCAATGTATACTGACTACGGTTTCACATTTTTTGCATAGCCAACAGTGTGTTACTGAATGGGCAATTTTACTATCTCAGCTTCTGCTGATCAGTTCCATGTCGGCCCTGCCGGTTCTATTCATGTGACAATATATCACCTGGTCAAACAGTGACTTGACTATATATC